TGTAGAGATTATAAAGACTAGAGATAGAAAACTAAGTTTAGAGAATTGAAATTTAGTTTGTTTTAATGTAACGATGAAGAAAATTTATTGATTTTGGCATTCTCAAAAGATCCTCCGCACAAACCATTGAATAAGATTACTTTTATCACTTCCCTTGACCTTAAATATTAAAAAAGATACTATATTTTGGACCAAAAATAAACCTTAAATTAGCTATTATTATTATTTAGAAAGTTATTTTTGGGAGCACCAATCCTCTCCACCTAACCATTTGGAAGGATATTTCTATTATATCTACAATCACATTACTTAATAAAAAGGTAAAATAAAATATTAAGGATATCGATAGAATATATTTTGATATTACACGACTGGTAGCCACGTTAGATCATGCGTGGTGCCACTCCGCCTAGCTGACAACCATCTTAGATCAAGTGTGGCACCACTCCAACCAAAAAAATATATACATCTTAAAGTACGGTGAAACGATATAGCTCGATTGACGTCACGATCTAAGTCCAAAGCAATGCATTGTAAATCCATACCGATTGGATTCAAGCGATGCCAGCTAATAAGAATACAACTTTGCAAGGCATAAGCTCAGAGGGATGACTCCATAACAGATAAACTGTCCATTGAAAATGTTGACAGCGCCAACAAGTACAAGAGGAGTCGGTTCCCCGCGATAGGTATAAAAATCATCCCCAGGTAGATGCTGGGGGACATGATTCACTATCCATAAAAATCTAACATAAGCTTCGAAGGGATTAAGCCAGAACTCTTCTCTCCGACAATGGCCTGTTATGCAAGGACTCGGGACTAGGAGCCCCTCGTAAATTCGATCGAGAATACCCTAAAATATGGCAATTACAACTCTCTACCCTTTCTCGTTGAAGCGTTCTTTCATGATAACTCGCAGATGATCTTACACAATCAAAATCAAACTAAGCCATCCCCTTCCTAAGCCACTGCATAAAGAATCACTCAAATAAAACAAACATCTTATTATAAGGTAAGTAGTCGAGCAAGTGCCCTGCTTCTCTGACCAGTTACGTGATCGACACACTTAAGGTCATACGTCAACTAATATATTTCTCGTTGACCGACTTGATACATGTCACTGCAACGTAGGGACCGTGCCATAGGCCATGGTAGTGCCGTCAAAAGAGGCATGGATCAAATCATCACCATATACATACCCACGTTACACCTCTAGGATGTATCGCATAGGGTTGATGCGGTGGGATCCATGCACATGACCTTACACATCAGGTTTATTAGAGGCTATATTACTCTTAATATGCTAAGGTTCATAGGAATTGGGTTCACCATTCGTATTGGGTTTGATTTCACATTAAATTTACCTCAAGCTAATTGGTTTCTCGTGTTCTTTTCATGTTAATTATAACGATAATTCTAGGCTCGAGAGATACGATTAAGGCAAGTAATTCGTGGGTGGAGTTCTATAGCTTTTTCTTTGATGGCTAAGCAGTCAAATTCCCATAAATACGTTGGGATTGAAGAACTTGTTCTTTATCCTAATAAATCAATCTAGCGCTGAGATTGGAATAGTTCATCCAAAACAAAACGCTATAAACGATGTCCAAGAAAGAATCCCTCCACTGGTCCTTGAATGCTTATCCATCATGCCAAATCTTCCAAGGAAAGATGTGTAAACCGCCTCTGCAACTCGTCATCTTAAATTATAAACACCCGTCCTCATCTCATTTTCTTACCGTAGATCGAAATCACGGCACTGGAAAGAGTTCTACTAATCACAACCGTGGTAATGTGGGGTTTGGAATGAGCTCAGAGGTTGGCTTTTGTCTCAACGTTGAGAGGGAGATACAAAACAACGAGGAGGTGCGAGAGGATGAGGGCTACAGGTCATGGGCCCCGATCCTTGCCACATAGCACCCCACTTGCCCACTCGAGACAGCATCGGCAACACTGTCCTCCTTCCCCATCCCTTCTCTCTCCTACTCGTATTCATGTGGAATAAGAGAGGAAGTAGGGGGACTAGCGGAAGAGGAAGAAAGAGGATCGTCCGCAGGGAGGAAGAGGAGAGAAGGAGAATTATAGCAAGTGACTCAAGAGACATCACAGACCCAGTTTCGATTCTGCCCCTCTCAGCAGCAGAACTACAAAGAGTAGATTGTACTAGCTGCTCTCTCCCTTCTTCTTCTTCCTCTTCTTCTTCTTTGGGTTGTGTTTAGCTGATCAGAACAAAGAGAGCCGAGGAAGAGAAGAAAGATGCCTTCTCGTTTTGGCTCTGCTTTTCTTTCCCCCTCCTTTGTTTCCTTCCATCTTCCTCTCATAAACACCCTGTCTCTTTCTGCTTGTTTTTGAGCCAACTGGTTGTTTCCTCTGCCCGAGTTCTTTGTTCGTTAGTGGAGGTGGGAGAGTAAAGGGTTAGAGTTTTGAGGTTTTCGTGAAGGGTTGGTTGGCTTGGGTTCCTAGATCTACTCCTCTTGCTCTAGTATTTGGGTCTTTATCTCATCCTTCCTTTCTTTGTTTTCTTGTCTTTAGGTTTGGAGGAGGCCGGAAGGCAGATACTCACTCGGAGATAGATAGCTAGATAGACAGAAAAACATGGGAGCTCAAGGTTCCATGTAGGAAAGTGAGTGTTTCTTCCGCGTCGCTGATTTGGACTAGCAGCCGATCATTACCAGAAACCAAAAGAAAGATCGGTGAGTGAGAGAGACGAGACCAAGAACAACATCTACCATCAGCTTTGGTTTAGAAGGCGATGGCTGCTTCGTCATCGACTCATTTCTTTGGAACCGTAGAGCAAGACCAGTACAGCCACCAACAGCCGTTGCCGCTGCCGCTGCCGCTGCCGCAAGCATCAACGATACCAGGCTCGTCGGCTGCTGCTCCTCAGAAGAAGAAGAGGAACCTCCCTGGAAAACCAAGCAAGTATCTGAACATCATCTATACGTTTGCTTGTCAACCAATCCATTTTTCCTTTCCTCTCTGATTTCTGACTGCTATATATATATATGTGTGTGTGTGTGTGTGTGTGTGTGTGTTGAGTACTCCTATCATTATTCTTGGAGAAGTTATTTCTAGGATTTTTGGATCATTTTTCTCTCACAAGTGAATTCAACTTAATTTTGTAAGTTCAGAAATGATCTCTCTTTCTTGTATTGATATCACCGAGTCCTCTCCTGCATAAAATATCTGAGCATTTAGCTTTATTATACACTGTGCATAGATGAGACAACAAGTTTCTCATTCGATCATGATCACAGATCCGGATGCCGAGGTAATAGCTTTGTCACCGAGATCACTGCTGGCCACCAACCGATTCGTCTGCGAAGTCTGCAACAAAGGGTTCCAGCGGGAGCAGAACCTCCAGCTCCATCGGCGCGGCCACAACCTGCCATGGAAGCTGAAGCAGAAGAACCCGGAGGAGGTCCGCCGCCGCGTGTACGTATGCCCGGAGCCGACGTGCGTCCACCACGACCCGTCGCGGGCCCTCGGAGACCTCACCGGCGTCAAGAAGCACTTTTGCCGGAAGCACGGCGAGAAGCGGTGGAAGTGCGACAAGTGCTCCAAGCGTTACGCTGTGCAGTCGGACTGGAAGGCCCATTCCAAGATCTGCGGCACTCGCGAGTACCGCTGCGACTGCGGCACCCTCTTCTCCAGGTACTACTCCATGCATCCCATCCATTGAAACACGGGAGTCATCCGATCAATCCATGATTGGGCAATCATCGCCCATGTTATCATAAACAGACTGGTGTTTCTGGAGTTAGGGTTTAGGGTTAGGGATGTTAGCTAGGGTTGGATCAAAGCTCTGCGAGTGTAGTGAGGAACTGCTCCCACGTGAGTTATGCCCAAGGAACCAAACAACGCAGGGTCATTGAGATCTCAAAAGACGCACTCATCTAGTTCTTATTGAAACCAACACATCTCTCTCTCTCTCTCTCTCTCTCACCTTTGCATTCACGTGGTGACATGGAAGGAACGTTAGCAGCAGGTTGATTTGTTGCGTTGCGATTTGGATATATGTGGGCAACTGGCATCGACTTGGCGTTGCAGAGGTCCACACCACTTCACAAGGATTAATATGAAGATGTGGAGTGTTGTTCTACCTGTGCGTTGTTGGATTGAGTGGGGCAGAGATTCATGGGGTTACTGATCTGTCGCGTTTATGGTTTTGATGACGTTCTTGCACTGGAATGAGTTCATAAATAGGTTTAATTTGCATTGTTGGTTTTCATCTTTGCTGCAAAAGTTCCCTCGATGCATTGATTGATGGGTCAGTCCTAAAGATGGCTTTCTCTTCTTGACGTAAATTGACCCTTTTCAACTTCAAGAACCGTTCTTCTCTGCTCCTTTTTCTAGATTCTCTCATGTATGTAAGATGACCAGTTGAATTCTCTTGCTATATATATGTATATATACATGCCTATTACTTGTAGAATTTGACAGCTCACCTGTCCTTTGATACATCAAAATCATAAATATTTGATCCGTTATAGTTTTAGATAAAATTGTCCTATTAATTCTTGGAATTATTGCTTCCTTCATCTCAATATATGTAAATCATGTGAAATCTTACGAGTTGTGGGAAACCAATGCAGGCGAGACAGCTTCATCACCCACAGAGCCTTCTGTGATGCGTTAGCACAAGAAAGAGCAACGCTTCCCGCCGGCATCAACAGCATCGGCAGCCACTTGTATGCAAATAGAGGCATAAACTTAGGCCTCCCACTACTGAATGCGCAACTCTCCTTACAAGACCAAGCATACCCTTCCACCGACCTCGTCCGGTTGAGGGCAAGTAACGGCGGTTCTACGCAATTCGATCACCTCAACGCTACCGTTTTCCGGCAGCTTCAGCCGCCACATCCATCCCCGTTCTACGCTGGTGGTAGCCCTAACCATGGCTTCAACGAAGACCCGCAGTTCGCCTCATCCTCTTCTTCTGCCGCAGCCGCTGCCGGTCTTTTCAACCTTGGCTTCTTCTCCAACAGCGGTGGCAACACTTCTGGAACCCAAAGCGGCAATCTACTCGGCCCCGATCAATACATCAACAATGCAGGTGGCGTAACCGAGCCGACGATGCTGATCACTGGAAACCTGATGAGCAACCACATCGACACAAACATGTCTTCTCTTTATAACCCCTCCCTGCACAGTGAAGAACCGCAGATGTCGGCGACCGCACTGCTTCAGAAGGCCGCCCAAATGGGCGCAACATCGAGCGGCGGCAGTCGAAGCTCATTGCTCAGAGGCTACAGCGGCTCGTACTCGGCTGGTGCAGGGCATGCTAGTTTCGAGAGCCCAGGGATTCACGTAGAGAGTGAGAACCATTTCCAGGACATCATGAACTCCCTTGCCAACGGGAACAATGGTGTATCCGGTGGTGTCAATCAACAAGTGTCTGGATTCAGTGGCTTCATCCCAGACTCGGATAAGATGGATGAGGGCAAGTTGCACCACAACCTATCTGCCGGAGGCATTGGAGGACCTGACAGATTGACAAGAGACTTTCTTGGTGTTGGCAGCTTGATGAGAAGCATGGTGAGGGAACGGCATCTCGGCATGGGAATGAGCATTATGGATTCGGAGAAGAAGTCAGGATCCTCTAATCGACCATTTGGTGGTGGGAGACTGCCATAGCTGCTGTCAAAGACTACAAAGGAGAACTAAGTAGAGGAACGTAGCTAATCAAGCTTGGTTTATCTTCCAAATCCCATATTTAAGTTTAAGGTGTTCTCAAGATAGCAATTTTTCGTCTTTCTTTCTTTTCTCTGTTTATGACTGCTTCTTTGTTTTCTTCGTTCTCCTTGAAATGTTTACTGTTCTAATAATAAATCTGCTCTTTTCTAAAGCTATTTCATGTGCATGAAACATTTACATGATGGTAAGCATATATATCAACATGTTGCATGCACAGCACACTAATTTTGAATGCTTATTCTCTCTCAAGATCTTGTTCCTGTGAAAGATACAGAAGACACAGCCGAAAACTATGTGTTGGCTACGCAAGTGCATGCATGCATGCATGCGTTTAACCCTGTCGTGAGAGAGATTAATGTCTGGTGTCCCAAGTCTTGGAAAACTATGTCATTAATGTAACCATTGTCGAAAGCAGTGACTAATTTCTTGGTGTTGAATCGCAAATATACCACACGATCTTCGAAATCTAAACATCTAAGTGAGACAATGAGTTTATGGATTTTTTTTCTACTTTTAGGGTTCACGGGTCGATAGCTGTTTCCCTTAATATATTGATATGATCTATCAGTAGATCTTCTTTCCACCCTTTTCTCAAGTCACAAGCATTGCTCGTCCCTATATACGTATATATATAGTTTAATTTACGGCAAGGAAAATGCTTGAGAATATGCGAGCCTGTTTGGCCACTTGAAGAGCATTGGATACTATGGTTATGGAACTTTTTACGTCCCGATTCATGTAACTTATATGAGTAAGTATCACTCATAGATGTAATATATATTTATACAGTGGTGCAGGGAATAGATTCTGCACATTAATTGTCGTCTCATGAGTTGTATAAGAAACCTATTTAGTGTCCGGTTGTCATATTAAAGTTTTTTTCCATATATATCGGTAAAAAAAATACTTATACACCTATCTCTAATTTTAACATGGCATTACTAAATTTCAAAATTCATATGCTCCTCCTCCTCTCCATTTTCCATGATCAGTAAACACTAAGAGCTTACAGTATAAAAAGGAACAATAACTTATTCTTGATATATATATATATATATATATATATATATATATATATAAGTGAAATTTTTTTTTACAGCAAGTGGTGAAGTCAAAATTTTATAGCATTGTCAAAATCTTTACCAAATGGATTTAAGTATTGTTTTAGAATATTTAAGTATCCATAGTAACAAATGAATTTTGAAAAGTACTAGAATTTTAGACACCCAAAACATCACATACCACTTTCATCTATTACTTGATTCTAAA